AAATGTATGTTTCATTTCCACCTAATCTGTTTTTCATATCGACTCTCAGCCCACCTCACATCCTTCCTAGTCGTTTTTCTTTTTATTCATACTGTACAGGGCCTCTGTGAAACTCACACAGGAGTGCAATAATGCTTATTTATTTACTGCTAGTTGTAGATTTCTCTGATTCAAGTTCTGGTGCTGCTAAATTTTAGCTTAAGGTTCATGTGGGGGGGGGGGGGGAATTGGGTGAGGCTTCAGATTTTGTAGACCATTTTTAAACACTTCCTCTTTGAATGGTAAAGTGGAGTAGGCTATATAAAGATGGGACTAAAATTAAGATTTTGTATTGCTTTCCTTTTGGTGTTCATTTTTGCTTGATACACCATTTCCGAATTGCCTATATATCCACAAAAGAAGCCACCAGCCAGTGCACGAAAGGAAGCCTAGCCAGTATAAAGAAAAACTTGGCCAGTGGTGTATATGGCCAATACACATTCGTTTGCCTATAATTTTCACCTGATGATCTATGGGATGTTTCCGTGGTCATATCCCCGACATGACTGGGATGAGGAACCCAATGAAAAAGAGACAGGCAAAGACAATGATGAAGGTAAGCTGGGCAGATCATGGTATCCTTTTGAGTCAACTGTAGGAGTTGCAGGTGGACAATTTAGGGTTGTGCTGGTTCTTCTTCTTCCTCTGTAGCTGGTTCCGGTCAGTGATGAGGGTATGTGTGGAGAGGTCAAGCCAGAACCCTCCTTTTCAGGTGTTGTAGGGGACTTTCTCCCCATCTATTTAACATCTACATGAAGATGCTGTATGAGTTCATCTGATGGCTTGGAGTGAGATATGATCAGCATGCAGATAATATTCAACTTTATATCTACAAAGGAGAATATCTGTAGCTCAGGGTTGGTGTTGACTAGCATTGATGATGTTACCCAGTTTGGATAATGAAACATCTGCAAGAAAACAACCAAGCTCAGAGAGCACCAAGGACCCCATCAACTTTCTATCTCCATCCTAGGCTACCAGAGTGATGCTGGGGAGGTTCTATCTCAGTGCATGGAGTATATGGGTGTCTGAATGGGGCACAATAGCTTTTGATTCAACTCAAGCAAAACCAAATGGTTCTGGAGATCTTCCACCTTCTGAATGGGATACTTCTACTTCAAATAGATCAGGTACACAATCGTGAATTCTCTTGGATTCATAGCTCCTGTTCTAGAAATTTGCACAGTGTTATGTATAGTTGCACCTGTTCCTGTACAAGGGTTCCTGCTCATGGTCTTTCATGCCCTTATTGGAAGCTTCAACTGGTACAAAATGTGGTGGGGCAGGCAGTTAATGGCACCGGTATTTGAAAATCTGACACTTATAATGGTTTCTGAGAATGAGCTTGGGACATGGACCAAAGAGATGCAGCCTAGGGAATGATCATATAATAGATAGTGTAGCCTGCAGCTGCATAGTGGAGCTCAGAAGGGATCCTGCTTAGATTCTCGGGCTGTCAAAGGTGACGGTGGGATAACTGTACTACCAAATATGCAGGGAAATCTCAGACTTGGGTGTGTGACAGAACCAGTCTCCTAGCTATGTTGATAGCTGTTTGATAGCACTTGGTTGCTATCAAACAGCTATTTTATTTATTTTTGTTTTATTTTTTATACTATGTATTTTATCTGTTTTATAGTACACTACCTAGAGCCCCTATATGAGATGGGTGGCTATATAAATCAATTTAGTAATTTAAATAAGTAAACCAGTATTATGAAAACCCACTGAGACCTAAAAGACTTAAGATGAACACCCTTTCACCATCCATGACCCAACGAAGGTCTCCCACTAGTGTAACTAATGCCGCCTCCTTTTCATGTCTAGCCTTGAACCCTGACAGTGGAAGGCAACATAATCTATTTTATTTAGGTGCTGGGTAGTTGATTCCACATTGCTTCAATAAACCTTCCTGAAAAGGTTGGAGACTGGGCAATAGTTGTCTAGTATTCCCAATTGAGAAAGAGCCTATTAAGTTGTAACCACACCAGATCAGTGCTTACATCTTTTCAAGATCAGTAGTTACATCTCTTCCCACAATGAGGTATTAACTATCTCCCAAGGAATTACCTTCCCATCTCATCATCAGCAAGCCAACTGCTTATATAATACAGAATATCTGTGACTGTCCAACTCTGACATTAGCTCTTTCTTCCAAGCAAGTTCTCCCTATTTCAGAAAACAAGAGTAATGCCTAATTCCAGGTCTTCTAGATAAATTACCATGGTACCAGTGGTGCCTGCACCCAGCAAGATTTCTCTGGTAGAATCCTTTTATTAACCTGATATGTTTTTTAATGTGGCTGCACAACATGCAATTGCATTATTAGATTCAAATGCACAGATTTCTAACAAACTCACCCAGGATGCTGAGGCAAGAAGCTGATCTACATATTCTAGGGCCATTAATCATCAATTCCATAAGTCCTCTGGTTGCAGCAATAAACAATCAGCAGGCAGCCAAGGTCTGCTCTGTGCAAGCGACCTTGTGGGCCTTTAACATGTTTACTTCATAGTCAGCAGGGAATTCCATTTTAAAAATGTTCGACCTCATAATCCACTACCAATAGAGACTGGCCCAGAGCACTGGATTTTCTGGTCACATGTATCAAAGGATTAAAACAAAAATAGTATGCAACCTCTAAGAAAAACCCCTCTCTTCCTTCTCTTGTCCCATCTACCACCAACTCCCAGCTGCAGACAATCATATGTATAGTAGCTTAATACAAGCCTAAGCATGTTTATCATGGCTGAACCTTGTAAAGAAAAGAAAGACAGGAAAGGCAGCATAATATTTGACAAGTAGCTCAGTCAAGGTAGCATTAAATGACTATTACTTCTCCTCCCTAGAAGTGAGCTACAAATACATGCATTCATATTCATGGGGAAAACTGAACTGTTTCTTGTTCAGCATCATTAACTCCTTTTCCTGTTTTGGGGAGGGGTGGGAATAAAATAGCACGGGGCCCTTTTCCATCTCCATCCAACATGCAAACACAAATCTATTTCTATAATCGTGGCCCTGGGTGAGATTTAAAAGCAACCAAAGGAGTTTAGCTCCTAACCATGCCCAATAAATCACAGAAAAGAATCAGATCAGAAGCGTTTCAAGATGTAACCTTGGCAACGCAGGAAGAATGGAACCAACAGAAAACTTAGCTTCTTTGGCTTTATTTGTCGTTTCTGCAAATTGGAAAGGAAAATAAATGTTCTCAAGGAAGTCAGCAAGAGATATACATATACAAAAGATTTAAAACAGCGGACATTTCCTTGCATACGCATTTTCATGTAGCCCTTCCCAACCTACTGCCTTCCAGATGCATTAGAACTGAAGTTCCGTGTGTGTGTGTGTGTGTGTGTGTGTGTGTGTGTGTGTCCCCGTACACACACACACACATCATGCTATTCCCTCTCAGGATAAGCAATGTTATGCAGAGGATAAAATTGGAATTAGAAATTGTAAATTAGGGCATGAGGGAAGAAAATTAAAGGGGAATATAGGTAGTCCTCAATGAGAAAATTAAAGGGAAATGTAAGTAGTGCTCAACTTATAACTGAAATTAAGCCCCACAAATATAATCGTAAATCCTGATGGTCTTAAAGCAGGTTATCACATGATCGGATCTGATTTTATTATCTTTTCTGCAGTGGTTGTTAAGCAATCCCATTGTTTGCTGTGGGCTTTTTTTCCTGCCTGGAAATCGAAGTAAATGCGGGTTTCTCAAAAAAAATAATGGTATAAATCCCAGTCAAAAATGACCCAGTTGCCAAGTGCCAAAAATATAGTCCCCTTGGATAATTGTAATCATTTAGAGCAGCGGGTGCCAACCGTTGGGCTGCGGCCCACTGGTGGCCTGTGAGAAAATTTTGGTGGGCCGCAGAGAAATCTCACCCCCAGAGCACCCCCCCAAAGCAATTAATCCAGGCTGCGCAGAAACACAAGGCTGCTCAGCCCACATGGCCTGCGGGAACCCTCCCCGCCCACTCACTCCTTACTCGGCAAACTTGTCTGCTAAGTTGCTATTTTTCCTTTTTCCGACCATCATCTGTTCTGCTGTGCCAGGAGATTTAGATTAGCTAGGAAGCAGGAAATGGTTGGATTTCTTGCTTTCTAGCTAAGCACAGCTGAACCTCCCTTAGGACTGAAGGTTTGCTTGCAAGCAAATTCAGTGCAGACTCACGGCAAGCAAATTTGAGAGACTGAGCTAGCCGATGGCAGATAGATAGATCACTCAATGATTCTGTGAGCAACTCAATCTGCCTGCCTGCTTTGCCTGATTGCCTGATTTTGGGTAAAAGTTGCTCTTTTTTAAAAATAAAAAATTCAATATTTATATGCATGGTATGTTGTGAGTTAATTTTGTGAGTTTGCTTGCAAGCAAATTTTGTGTGACAGACTGAGCTAGCCAATGGCAGATAGATTTCTGAATGAATCTGTGATTCTGTGAGCAACTCAATCTGCCTGCCTGCTTTGCCTGATTTGGGGTAAAAGTTGCTCTTTTTTATAAAAAAAATCAATATTTATATAAATATTTATAATATTTATATACAAGCCATACCCATCCAGTCACATGACCACCAAGCCACACCCACAAATTAGGCCATGCCCACAGAACCAGTTAGTGGTCCCTGGGATCTAAAAGTATGAGTTTGGTGGTCCCTGAGGTCCAAAAGGTTGGCGACCCCTGATTTAGAGTCTAAGTCACCATGAGATCAGTGATTACATCTGGAATATTCTGTATACCATCCATACTTTCTTGCTTCTTGGTGTAACAAATCTACTGGAAAAGCAATCTCAATGTGTTTTTCACCAATGTGAGAATAATAATAGTAATAGTAATAATAATAATAATAATAATAATAACTTCCAACAGCAGTGCCATTATCTGAGGTTAAAACGATACCCCTAAACAGAACTTACATTTTGTTATGCCAAATATAATAGAGATGTTAATTACTTACAAGGCACAGCATGGCGATAAAGGTTATCTCTAATAGTTTGCTGAAGCTCATGATCTGGAGATCCTTTCTGAAATCTCTGGTTGAGAAAATGTCTCAGGTCTTTGTTCAGACGACTTCCTGAAAAGAATGAAAGAATGAATGAATGGATGGATGGATGGATGGATGAAAGGAAGGAAGGAAAAGAAAGAAGGAAGGAAAGAAGGAAGAAAGGAAAGAGAGAGAGAGAGAGAGAGAAAGAAAGAGAGAGAGAGAGAGAGAGAGAGAGAGAGAGAGAGAAGAAAGAAAGAAAGAAAGAAAGAAAGAAAGAAAGAAAGAAAGAAAGAAAGAAAGAAAGAAAGAAAGAAAGAAAGAAAGAAAGAAAGAAAGAAAGAAAGAAAGAAAGATTAATGTCTTCTTGTCTGGTGAGTATTAGATTTGTAACTTCAATTATTATATGTCCCTTTCTTCTATAGATGGCTGATTATCAGAAATGAATTTGTCGCAGAGATATGATGCCAGTGGCTTTGTAACCCATCTTTCTTTTTTTTTATCATCCCCTTCACATCACAGTTCTTTTTGGTTAACACAAAAATGACATGGTAATCCTTTCATTTGGAGTAAAATCTGAATGGAGCTGAACTTTTACTGCCTGGATGCCCTTCCTGATGCCTATATGGAATTCACAGCAGATATTTTCTCTTTGCACCTTGAGAGAGAAACATCTGTCACTGACTAGAATTGAACTCTCAACCTTTGGAATGAGCAGCGAGCGTCTTCACCACTAGGCAACCACAACCACTCTAGATAAAATGAAAATGTTGAAAATGGCTTTTTCCCCCTTCATGTCTCTACTCACCAAGCTAAACAAAAAAAAAATGTGATAATTTTTTTAGATCATAAGGATATAGAAACGAGAAGTTGCTTATTAACAAGATCTTCACCACAACAGGCTCTAGCTACAATGCAAACATTAAGTGCTACCTCTATTTACATATATTAGAGAATAATCTACTGTTCCTACATTACACCCATTAATCCATGCAGATTTCAACCCAAATGATGGATTTCTTACATGTAAATATAACTCAATATCAGTGGGAAGAACTGTGAATCTAGGGTTTAAAATGTTAGTTTATAAATCAACATTAAGCCTATGTGGCATAATAAAGCGTCTGGTTTAAATGAACCAGTTAAAGCCAAATGTATAAACTGAAGTAAAAAAATATAATCATTCAGGGACAAGGTGAGACACATAGATTCCTATTCGTTCTTGGCTTATATCCAAGCTGGAATAAGTAAACTGGAATACCAGCATTTATTGTCAGCTCTTTCTGGCTCCCCCAGTCTAATAAAAACACGTATGAATGTATAGTAGCTAAAAAGAATGCATTCTCCACTTTAAATCGTCAGGTTTCTATATTAGAATGAATCTTACGTCTAGTCACCAAGAAAGATACAAGGAATTAGGTCAAATTTATTATAGGGTAATGAAATGTTTATTCGGGTAAATAAAATATTATGGTAGAATATTCTGCAGCATCAGCACATAAGATCGATGTAGAATATAAATCATATATCTTCTTCTGTGTTCATAATCATATACGTCAATAAATGAAGTCATTAGTCATCTGGTCACAGGCCAGTAGGGATTTAACATCCAGTAGTTAAAAATGAATTTGAAACACTTAATTAAAAATAATAAGTGAGAAACCTCTAAGTCTTTTTATAGAAGCAGTTCTCCATTTAAGACCGATCACTGCTCTAAGATAGATAAACAGGCAGAGATGGGCAGAGGGAGAGAAGGAGGGAGGGAGGGAGGGGGAGAGAGAGAAAGAGAAGTCGTCTATTTCTCATAATCCCTGAAGGCCAAGGAAATTTATTCTCCAGATATGTAAAATGATTATAAACAGGAACAAAACTGTTCCAGTAGGGCAAACTCCCACAGGCCTGAATACACCCTTTCAAATTCCATCATCATCATCATCATCATCATCGTGTTTCAATTTGACTGTATATCATTCAAACCTTTTCATGAAACAAAAAATTCTACTGGTTTTGCATTACATGAAAGAACTATATCCTTTACAAATAGCTACAGTTGCCTGGAAACAGCTTATATATTTTTGATTTTCTCTTTCCCCCTTTTTGGTTTTATAAAACCAAAAAGGGGGGAAGAGAATTTTATTTTATTTTTAAAAAAAGGAGGGGGAAGTCCTTATTTTACCGTCCTTGGAAGAATGAGTTAACCTTGAGCCAGTAAGAATCAAACTGCTGGCTGTCAGCAGAATTAGCCTGCAATACTGCATTCTAACCACTGCACCACCATGGCTGTTCACAAGAAGGGTACAAACACATTTATTTTTAAATTTATTATTAAATTGATGTGCCGCCCCATCTCATCATCCAAAAAATAAAATATTATTTTTAAACCAATTGTCATTATTTTATTCCCATGCCTTATTTTAATGTTTTAAATTTTTAGATACCACTATGATGGAATTTTTGAAAGCAAACCCAAATATAATACAGTAGATATTTTGTTTGGCAGCAACAATACAATTATAAAACTCCTGTTTCTGAAGACAGGGGGGTTTGTTCTGACTCAAACCCTTTTCCAATAAAACAAATAATAACCAAAGGAAACAGAAACCTTTTAATGAGTCTTACAAATCCCCAGTTAAAAGGCTGCTGCAAACTAATTAATTTTGATAAGCACAAACCTCGCCAAAACTGTGTGAGACTGCCAAGAATAACAGATAAGAAATATTTCACAACACAAGAGTCTTCAAATACCAGCTTAAAATACTGTAATGTCCACGAGGCTGAGTTTCAAAACATCTTTGCTTCCTGCAAAGAATGTTCGCTCCACAGCTGGCTTTTATCTTCTTGAAGGAGGGACCATTACCTTGCAGCCTTACTCCCGAGTTGCCCGTGCTGTTGCAGCTGCTCTTTCCTGCAAGCAATCCTGCATGCACGTGCACTTGGCATAGGCTCCTCAGGAACTTCCTCATTGCTGCTGCCAGCCCACACAATCTCTGAAGGCAGCAATCCACTCCCTAATGGTCCTGGCCCCTCATCTGAGTCCTCGCTCTCTTCAGCCATCCGCACCTGCTGCTGGCTAACTACAACAGGGTGAGAATGTAGAACTCAATATTGTTTTGGTCTTCTAAAATAAAAAATAGGCAGTGGTTATTATATAGGCTTGAATATTGGTAGTAATCACTGCAACTGTTATGAAATAGCAGAATAACAGAGTTGGAAGGGATCGTGGAGGTCTTCTAGTTCAACCTCCTCCTCAAGCAGGAAACTCTATTCCATTTCAGAAAAATGGTTGCCCAACCTCTTCTCAAAAATCTCTAGTGTTGAAGCATCTACCATTTCTGGAGGGAAACAATTCAACTGATTAATTGTTCTAACCGTCAGTAAATTTCTTCTTAATTCTAGGTTGCTTCTCTCCTTGATTAGTTTCCACCCATTGCTTCTTGTCCTGCCTACAGGTGCTTTGGAGAATAGTTTGACTCCCTCTTCTTTGTGACATCCCCTGAGATATTGGAACACTGCTATCATGTCACCCCTAGTCCTTCTTTTCATTACACCAGACATACCCAATTGCTGCAATTGTTCCTCATGTTTTAGCTTCCAGTCTGCTTAATGATCTTAGTTGCTCTTCTCTGCACTCTTTCAAGAGTCTTAACATCTTTTTTTATACTGTGATGACCAAAACGGGATGCAATATTCCAAATGTGGCCTTACTAAGGAATTATAAAGTGGTACCAACACTTCACATGATCTTGATTCTACCCCTCTGTTAATGCAGCCTAGAACTGTGTGGTTGTTGTTTTGGCAGCTGTGGTACACTGCTAGCTCATATTTAAGTGATTGTCCACTCGGACTCCAAGATCCCTCTCGCAGTTACTGCTTTTGAGCCAGGTACCACCTATTCTGTATCTGTGGATTTGGTTTTTCTTAACTAAATGTACAACCTTACTTTTCTGACAATTGAATTTCATTTTGTTAGATAGGGCCCAGTGTTCCAGTCTGTCAAAATACTTCTGTATCTTGAGCCTATATTTTGGTGTGCTGGCTATTCCTGCCAGTTTGGTTCATCTGAAAATTTGATAAGTTCTGATAAGTTTGATAAGATCTTCTTTCCTCTTGTCTAAATCATAGCTGACATTTTTGAAGAGTACTGGGCCTAAAATAAAGCCTTGGGCTACCCCACTGCATACTTCCCTCCATGTAGATGCAGTTCCATTAAGGTCTACATGTTGTGTATAATTGGTCAGCCAGTTATAAATCCATCTCGTGGCAATGCTGTCTAGCCCACATTTTTCTATCTTATCAATAGATTGTGGTCTACTTTAAAGTATTTGTAATATCTTACTGAAATCCAAGTAAATTATATCCACAGCATTTCTCTGGTCCACTAATGTTGTTACATTGTCAAAGAATACAATAAAATTTGTCTGGCATGATCTGTTTTTGACAAACCCATGTTGGCTTCTGGTTATGACTTTGTTTGCCTGTAAGTATTCACATATTCGATGCTTGATGATCTTTTCCAGAATCTTTCCTGGTATTGATGTTAGGCTGATAGTTCTGTAGTTTCCTGGATCCATTTCCCCCCCATTTTTTGAAGATGGAAACTACATCAGCTCTTTTCCAGTCATCCCAGTGCTCCAGGACTGGGAACTGTCAGAAAAGGGCTGATGTAGATACCATCTATATCATGGGAAATTTCTGAAAAAGATAATCATGCAAAAAAAACTGTGAACCCCTAGAGGCAAAGTCATAATATTCCCTTTTCTTCCTATATTTAAATAATCAAGATCATTAACTATAAAGTAAGATAGAAAACTATGATCTGAGCAAGCCAAGATCAGCATACAACGATCTATGACTTACATCAGAACTCTTACAATGGGTATGCTTACTAAGTGATTAAGTTTCCTGGATAAAGTAACAATTCTCAAAACTTTGTGGAAAAGTGAATTACATGGCTTCCAAGAGCTGGCACTGAAAAGTAAAAACTGTATTTTACCAATGTTTTTTTAATGAAAAACAGCAGATGCCTTTTGAGTTTCTTACAGTATTTCTCAAACTAATAATCAATAGTCCTATTAACACTGGTATCAGAA